TACAACTAGCCATGGAATCCCACATTTGGCTAGCTTCCCCCTCTCTATTCCACACACATTGGGTGATTACCTTCTCTTTGAAAATGGCTTGTTTTTCTTCTTTTAGATTCCACCATCTAGTCCTTGGGCACTTCCAAGTCTTGTTCTTTTGTCTTACTCTTTTGATATGTACATCCATCACCAACAAGCGATGTTGATTAGCCACGCTCTCTCCTGGTATAACTTTGCAATCCTTACAAGTTATACGATCCCATTTCCTCATTAGAAGAAAATCTATTTGTGTTTTTGACGACCCACTCTTGTAGGTGATCACATGTTCTTCTCTCTTCTTAAAGAAGGTGTTGGCTAAGAAGAGATCATATGCCATTGCAAAATCCAAGATAGCTTCCCCATCCTCGTTTCTCTCCCCAAAACCATGGCCACCATGAAAACCTCCATAGTTGCCTGTCTCCCTGCCCACGTGTCCATTTAAATCTCCTCCTATAAATAACTTCTCCGTCTGAGCAATTCCTTGCACCAAGTCTCCAAGATCTTCCCAAAATTTCTCCTTCGAACTCGTATCCAACCCTACTTGAGGTGCGTACGCACTAATCACATTGATAAGTTCTTGTCCTATTACAATCTTGATTGCCATGATTCTATCTCCTACCCTCTTGACATCTACAACATCTTGTACCAAGGTCTTGTCCACGATGATGCCAACACCGTTTCTCGTTCTATTTGTGCCCGAATACCAAAGTTTAAACCCTGAGTTTTCTAGATCCTTTGCCTTACTACCAACCCACTTAGTTTCTTGTAGGCACATAATATTTATCCTTCTCCTCACCATAACTTCCACTACTTCCATAGATTTTCCCGTTAAGGTTCCTATATTCCACGTTCCTAAACGCATTTTGCTCTCTTGAACTCTACCCTTCTTCTGTCCTAGCTTCTTCACCCTCCCCCGTCTAATAGGATCAAAGTACTTCTTTTGTGTGTCCCGGGTAAAGTTGATAGGAGCATATGCTCCCAAACAACTTTGAGTGGAGTCGTTCGAAAAGAAGTTTCTATGGCCCCCTTGCTCATTTAACACTGCATCCGGGTGCCGATGGAGATACAGCGACCCTTGCTCACTTATCACTGTGCTCAGGCCACACAGCGCGCCACTTACGGGTGACGCCCTAGCTTTAGCGCGATTTTGTTCTGGATTCATTTTCATAAGGATTCGACGTGATCATGGAGTGCCGGCTGTCGACTACCTGACGCCCTCCCCCTCCTCCTTTATCCGGGCTTGGGACCGGCCAAGTAGAGTGTAGAAACAATTAAGTTAAATCCTAATATCGCATAAATCACAAATTCAAATTCTTACTTGAGAGCATCGAACTTGCTAAAGCCACGACTATTGGTGCACAATGATCCCTTGGTATACTGTTCTTCAGAAGTCTGCTGTCGATAAAGAGCACATACAGCTTTCATGCACAGCTCTGGATCCTTACCAAATGCAGAAAGCATGTCTGCCTCAAATTCCCACTTTGATTTCTGATCTTTGTTCCTCTGAAATTTCGACAGAATCTCATCAAAGTCCACATCATCATCTGAGGAACCTTCTGACTTTGTAGAAGCATCATGACCATCAGAAACATCAGAATCATCTTCAACAATAAACCCACCCAAGCTTTCACCTTCACTTTCCGTCCCACCCTCTTCCGCATCATCATCTTCAACATCCTCGTTTGCCAGATTTTCTCGATCATATTTAGTTTCACTTGTCTGAGTTGAATATGAATAGTCTTTTTGTGCCCCACCTCTTTCCCCACATTTTCTCAACCTAATGAGACGCCGCCTGGGAGGACTAACAGTACCCATGGCATTGTCAACCTCAGAAACAGTAGCAGTCACTGAGCTGTCATTGAGATCACATCCTACTTTGTCATGTATAATTTCCTTAAGATGCCTTTTCTTGAGTTGTCCGATAGGAATATCATCATCACTATTTTCAGAGTCACTGGTAACAATATTAAGAGCACGCTTTCTCTTGGGTTTTGAGGCAAGCAGGCCCTCATTGATATTATCAGCATCTTCCTCAGCACATTTTTTCGTAGTCATATCTTTTTCACAACCCCCAGTTTCTCCTAATACTGAACCCGACGAAATGCAGACCTTTCTGCTTTCCTGATTATTCGCAGGCAAAAGTTCATCATCACTATCACTAATATTGACGACAGTGAGAGAAGAAGGCATGCCACCGCCAGGCGTAGATGGAGCCATCTTCTTGCAAGGACTCCCCTCTTTGTCGAATTCCAACCGTTTCCTAGCTTGTCTGCTGGTATAATATTTCATATCAGACTCCACAGAGACACCTTTACCATCCCAATGCTTACATGGCGTGTCATTGCGCGGAGTGCCTGCCATAGATTGAAACCTACTGTTATATAGTCGTGTAGAGAATAATTACATTCGTTTAAGAAACGTGAAATCATATACAGACTATAGTAGTGTAATGTGAATTTTCGTCAAGGAAAATAAATGCATCGCGTTGGTAAGACATGCAAAAAAATTTATTTTCTTTATAGGAAAGACATACAAAAGTTGCATTCACTTAGGATTGGAATTAAACATTGTACTAAGTATCCCTTGAATGCAGATCAGAAGAGTGGCTCACGGAGGAGATGCTACGGGTGAAGCACTTCAAAGCAGTTATATGAGTCAAACTAAACCAATACGAGCACTTTTGTGCGGCTAATGACCGTATTAATTCGGAAATTTGGATAAAAATTTGCTCTTATTCATTCACAGCTTGAATACCGATACATTAATTTCGTCAAACTATTTATTCAAGGAAGGTAGCAGAACCACAGACTAATGTAGATGCTAAATTACCATAGTATATAGGTGAGCAATGTAATTTACTTCATACCTGCTGACTGCAAATTTCCGATCTCTTTACCGAGGGGGAGACGTGTAGAGCCAACATCCACCCGATCCACGGCCATATCTTTGTCTCTGGAATACTCCAAGCCACTTTCAACTTGCAATTCATCGTCAAGTTTAATCCTTTTATTCAACTGCACGGTCCCGCTGTCTTCAAGAGAATCCACATTTAGCGATCCCACCCCTGCCACCTTCATCCGTCCATCCAACGGCAATTCCCCGCCTTTCAAGACCAACAATTCCAGTTCCTTGAACTTTTGCTTCCAAGCCTCAACCTCGCTTTCAGCCTTTTTCTTCTCACACTCCAATACTTTAATCTCAACCATAAGCTGAAAGACCTTGTCTTCCTCCCCGTTCTCCTCCGTCAGATCACCAATTCCCTCCCCTTTTTCTCCCCCACGATTTTTCTTCTTTTCATCCCCACCACTCTCCCTCCTCAAAGCCTTGATCTCTTCTTCCATCGCAATCTTTTCGCGCCCCAATGCCCGAAACTCGGCCTCCAGAGCTGCATGCTCACAATCTCTCTTTACAATCTCCAACTCTAACTCCACACACCTCTCCTCAGCTCTCTTGCTCCTGTTCTCCAGTTCACTATCCCCGCACCCATCCAACCCCTTTCGACAACGGACACCGGCGACATCTTCACATTCCATTACCTCCATAATTTCAGAAATCACCTCACCAGTTCTCCCATTAACAAATACCTGAATTACAAAAAAAAACATAAAAAAAATTGCAGCGTTCAGAAATTGAAGATTTAGGGGCAAAAATTAAACCAAAAGCTCCGTTCTTTCAAGAAATATGAACTCACTTGCAGAAGCAATTAGAACGGCAGCGTCAGAATCCGGCGATTTGGAGCAGATGCTCGATTAGGGTTTTACTGCTGCTGCAAACGGTGTGTGTGAGAGGGGAAGCGTCGCAAATACACAATAACTGAAACGCAAGGAGATGGAGGCGCGGAATGGTCGCCACGTGTATAACTGTCAACTGTTAGTTTTCCTTATAAACAGAAATAATTGCAGCATGGGTCCTTGGAGTATGACTTAATTGTAGGTTTGGTCTTTAAATTGAAAAAGTATTGTTTTTTGTCAAGATCTGAATTTTACATAATTTGTAGGGTATTGTCATCTCAAGAAATGATTTCACTAAATTATTTAAAAGCACTTTCAAACTTGTCCATAAATACTCTAACCTTTGACAAAAGAAAGTGTCGTGACGAAATGTGAAAGCAGAACACATAGATCCAACTAAATTGAGAAACAATGCGAAAATATCATTTCTTTAAAATATAAACGATATTGTGTACTGATTTATATTAAGGGAAGGGAGACACGTTTGAATTAAGGATTCAGTCAGTTAAAAAGCAAAACCTAAACACTATGGGCTCGTTTAGATGTGTTTTTAAAATGATTGAAAGCGCTTTTAGAGAAAATATTTTTGGATTTCAAAAGCAATTAAAGTGCTTTCTACAAGAAGCACATAACTCGTTTGGATATGCTTTTAAGACACTTTAAGTGCTTTTTCAAGATTTACTAGTATTTTCACTAAGGATTGTTTCCAAAAATATTTTCACCAAAAGCGTTTTCAGTTATTTTAAAAGCACATTCAAATGAGTTCTAAGACAATATACTACTTGAAATAAAAATGTCATTTTCAAGCAAGTGTACTGTGTACAGGGACGAAGCCAGAACTTTGTGTGAATGGGGGCATCCTCAAACAACAAAGCCAGAACTTCTGCAGAACCAGGTCAGAGAGCATAACCAGATCAGTTCAGTGGGGGCTCTGCTGCTGCAAACCCAACTCAATTTGAGCAGCATCCCAACGTCAGAAAAATCTCAGTGGGGGCATCCGCCCCCCTAGGCCCATGGTGGCTCCGTCCTTGACTGTGTAGTGTGACAAAAATTCTTGAAAGGCCAGTATTTCATAGTTTGTCAAATTCAAATTAAAAATTTTAAATACTCATAATTCATGGTCCAAAATTAAATTTCTGTAGTAGTTCGGGACCAAAATACAATTAAGCAAACTGTGCGTTTTGGGAAATTTTCTCTTGCGACTGTGCGAGGCGATGAATTTCCCTCAACTGAGCGGGTTTTCCATCACTTTTTTTTTCCCGAGAAACAAACGGAAAACTAGAAAGAATGAAACTTTTCCAACATCTCAGACAATACTCCATCCCTACTCGCAGGAAAACCCTAATTTCCTCTATTGGAGTTGGGCTTCTGCGAAATGTGGGGCCCGAACGATGCTTTTGCACGCGCTCAGAGGACTCGGAGCTGAAGGGATTGCTGGAATACATGGATTCTCTGAAGAACTACGAGAAATTGGGCGTACCCAAAGACGCGGGTACGGATTCGGAAGACGGGTTCGATCTGGGTCGGATGCGACGGTTGCTGGAGCTACTGGGTAATCCTCACTCCAAGTTCAAGGTTCGAATTCTAACTCTATTTCAATGCTTGTGTTCTGTTTGTTTAGTGAGAAAGTTGCGAAATTTGACATTGAAAGTGAGAGACTTTTTGTGTTTATTTGTGGAAAGTGCTTTTCCACTTTTTTTAAGATCCATGAAGTGAAATTTATGCATGACATAAGTTAGCAGACATTTTTGTTTTTTTCCCAATTTTCATGATCTTGTTTTTGATGTGGTTATTTGTCTGAGCTTGGGAACAAGCGTAATTAACTAGCATGACAGCAATTATAGGCGGTTCACATTGCCGGGACGAAGGGGAAAGGATCAACCGCTGCATTTCTCTCCAACATGTTGAGGGCAGAAGGTTATTCTGTTGGTTGTTATACTAGGTGTGGCTTATTGGTTTGTTTCAATATCTGTCATTTTACTTTATGTTTCGAACTTCCTCTGAATTTTTATTATCCTTTTGTTGAGAAGAGACTTTGTTTATGTCTACAGCCCGCACATTCAAACTATAAGGGAACGTATATCAGTGGGCAGGTTTGCTGAACCGGTGTCAGCGAAGGCGTTGAGTTCTCTTTTTGATAGGGTTAAGAAGATTCTGGATCATGCAATAGAAGTTGAAAATGGGCGTACAAGTCATTTTGAGGTATCCACTTGTGTATAAATTTGTTGGTTGTGTTTTGATTAGATACAGAAAAAGATTTCAACACGGTTGAGAAGCTGTATAGCTCTCAAAAACTCATCATTTTCTGCTTTAATCAATGAGAATTTATGTTTTGAAGTCTTGGGAAGAAGCATGTAGATGAATTCACCAGATTATGTTTTCTCCATTCAGCAGTTTCTGTTGTAGCATCTGGGCATCTTTTAATGCTAATTGTTATCACTTTGTTTTGCTATATGTGTACTTTTCATATACAGTGCTGTTTGTATATGCACTGATGCTCTGTGTACTTTTCATATATGGGGCTAACTGATTGGAATTTGTTAGGTTCTCACTGCTTTGGCATTCACATTGTTTGCTCAAGAGAATGTTGACATAGCAGTTATTGAGGTTATTCACTTCTCCTTCTAACGTCTTTTCCACATAATTTCATCTTATTCATGCACATACTATAAAACCAAAATACTATGATTGTACTGACTTTACTTAATTCAAATGAACAGGCTGGGTTGGGGGGCGCACGTGATGCAACTAATGTCATTTGTAGCTCTGAACTTGCTGCATCGGTCATTACGATAGGTGAGGAGCATTTGGCTGCACTTGGGGGTTCTTTGGAAAGCATTGCAATGGCGAAGTCTGGAATCATTAAACATGGCTGTCCAGTTAGGTGGTTCTGCCTTGGAGATTTCGTCCGCACAATTAAGCTAAAAGTCTTCTTGCATTGTTTTCCATTTTTCCAACTCTTTCTCCCATTTGCTTCTACACATATTAATAAACAAATAAATAAATGTTAGGTTATTCGATGGTCAACCATGGGGATTCCTAGGTAGATTTTGTAGAATGATAGTAGTTACATGCTGCCTGTTTTCTCATTCTCATGTTCAAATTGCCATATCAGACATCAGGACTGCCGTTGCTACTTCATTTTTCATCATGATTGTGGTATTGAAATTTGTTAATTATTATGACTCTAACTGGTTATATAAATTTTTAGGTGGTTCTGGGTGGTCCATTCCTCCCACATATTGAACAAATTCTTCGTGATAAAGCATTGTTGATGAGTTCCCCTGTAGTATTAGCATCTGATACTGGAAATAAAAGTAAGATAAATGGTGTTAGCATGCTCAATGGCAGACCTTTCCAATCTTGTGATATAGTCATACGAGTTGAAAGGGACTTAAAGCTGGTATGCATTCGAGGCATTAGGTTCTATTGGGTTTTATTTCCAAGATTCTGTGAAGAACTTATAATTGTGGGGTTCCTTGCAGTTCATTGAGCTATTGGATGTGAAACTATACATGCTTGGAACTCACCAACTTCAGAATGCAGCAACTGCTACTTGTGCAGCACTATGTCTCCGCAACTTAGGTGAGGGGGTTACTTTTATATAATCTTCTGTTGGACTATAATGTTCTCATATTGGAAACCAGTAGGTTTATCTATGTTACATAATGCCAGAGCCACTTCACGGTTATTGAACATAATGGGTTGAATACCATGTTTTATTGAGCAGGCCCTTCTTCCTTTAGATCTCTACCCTAATGCTTCTATGTTCACTTCAGGATGGAGAATTTCAGACGGATCCATTAGAACTGGTTTAGAGCAAACAAGATTGTTTGGAAGAAGTCAGTTTCTTACATCAAAAGAAGCTCAGGCATTAGGATTATCTGGGACAACAATATTGCTTGATGGAGGTATGATATTCCTTTATTCTTATTTTCCCTCCCTCTTTGTAAATTGTAACTTAGTAGCGCTGATTTCTAACATGAACTCTAATTTTATGGTTTCCGCTAGGGTTTTCTTATTTATTCCTACCATTGTGTGACTACAATACTAAATACCTGCTGGGGAGTGATTTTTCAGCCCACACCAAAGAGTCTGCTAGAGCGCTGATGGACACTGTAAAGATGACATTTCCAGAGGCAGGACTGACTCTTGTGGTTGCAATGGCTAGTGACAAAGATCATCTAGGTTTTGCAAAAGAGTGCCTGTCAGGTACATTCGGGACTCGTTACTCAATTACTAGGATTGTATTATTACTTATTCTATAATATTCCCCGGTTGTAATGTTTCAATGTTGGGCGTGGGCGTGGGAAAGATGGGAGATCTGACCGCATTGTTTCATTTTCTAGGTGGGCATGTAGAGGGTGTTGTTCTGACCGAAGCTAACATCGCTGGGGCAACATCTCGCACAACTGCAGCCTCATCGTTAAGAGATTGCTGGATCCAAGCTTCACAAGAATTGGAAACAGATATTCTTCACGACGAAATGCCTGAACACCAAAACTCAACTATGGATCAATTACTTTGCATAAGCAAGTCAGGAAATAAACCGATTTTGTCCACTGAGGGTTCGTTTCAGGCTTCCCTGAAGATAACAAATCAGATTATCAAAGGAAGAACGGGGGACCGGTTGCAAATTGTTGTAATTGCTGGTTCCTTACATATTGTTTCACTGGTGTTAGCTACCCTTCATGATTAACCTGCAATTTTATTTTTAATCCTGCCTTTCCATCTTCCCAGACTGGAGCTAGGATTTCTCGTTTAAGAATCCAGTTCCTTGTCACCTCTGTGTTAACAAACTTGAACGTTAGGACGTGCTTGTGAGGTATGTCATTGAGCATGTAACAATTTTACATATAAATGTATTTTGGCAAATGCAGATCACGGTGCATAAACAAAACAAAACAAAAAAAAAAAAAAACAAAAAAACATAAGAAACGGGCACGACTCTTCAATCTTCTTACGGCTGTATCTAATCTCCTGGTTCTTGCAGAAAGAAAAAAGACTTTCACGTTCTTCTTTTTGGGAAGGGAGGATTAGGAAAATCCTACTAATATATAGTCTTTCGAGTAGATATAATCATATAAACATTTGATATTGGAAATTTGTTATGAGAGTCATGCGTCGCTCCTAATTGTTATAATATAGATGACTGACATAGTAGATATTTCATCAACTTAGGGCATAACATTAATAAATAGCTTATTAGATTTATAATATGAGTAAATTTGTAACAATGTGTATTTTGACGTGAATTTCGTCCTATATCATCTCTACCTAATCAAATGGTAACTTCTACCGGAAGGAATTGCCGCTTCAATTGCTCTTTACTTTTAAGAAGCTTTATGGTTGGTCTCAACGTTTCTTTCTTTTTGTTTTTCTCCAAAAAAAGGATGAAAAGAAGGGTGCAAAGCTTATCCAATTTTGGGACACATCTATACATAGGGAAATAGGCATATAGGGGAGGATTCATATGTGTGTGGTGCAACTGCAAGGATCTGCAACGTGCTCTTTGTTCTCGAGTGCTTATAGCTATACAGCTAAGCTACTAGTTATGATTTGCCTTCCCCTTCCTTGCTCAGCTATTCTACTTTGCCAGATCTGTTGATAGGTTTTAGATAGGGATGGTATACATGTATGTAAGGCAGCGTAACATGAAAGTTGCGACTAGACGATGGTAGACATCATAATCCAAAGCGACCGTTCTCCTTATCATTTATCTAGAAAAACTCGTTTAATTTAAAAACCGTTCAACTATCCATTCTTATATGTCAAACAAATCAATTGTTAAGTAATTATATCTTCATGATTAACCGTTAACTTATTTCTGCGGTATAAGGAGTCATCTAATATCCATTTTGTTGTCTTATATATGTTAATGTGGCAATGGCATGCACATTCATAAGGACCAGTGATCAGGCCATGTTACTGATCTTTTCGTAAATATATAATAATGTTATATCTTGAATCCCTTTTGCATGCATGCTCCAACATTTTTTACTCTAGACCTGCACTGCAGGGAAAGCATGAGAGAACGTTGATCCCATTTGGCTTATCCAACTAATATTGGTCCCCTTTAATACAATGTGGTACCTCTCTTTCTGTCTGTCCAAATACTTTTTCCAGCAACCTAATGTTCTTCCTGTAGGCTCTAGTCCTCCATGCCTGTTCAAGACATATGCATACAATGCAAAGATTACGAGCTTTCAGATTTCAACACAAATATCAAAGAAATTTAATCATGCATGGTAAGTTTTGAGGATAATAATGACCATACATACGGTCCACACCAAATTCAATCTCAAATATTTCTGACACATATAGAACAGAAAAAAGTTGGGAAAACTATTTTTTTTTCTTTCACACAAGTGATATTAGGAGAGAAAAATCGAACACCCAATCTTGTATGCAAATGTGAATGCTTTTTAACCAATTGATTTGTAAGCTCGTTACAACTAATTACGTGTATAAACGTTTTTGTTTTTGGAATAAAATGTTATATAATTGATTAATCAACAATGACACTCATGCTTTTTGTGCTTGAGACATTCTCGTAGAACAGTTTGGGGTTTGGACCTAAGCGCTTAATAAAATGAACAACAACCCGTACATTCCACTGGTCGCCATCAGACTTCAGCCATCGGCACATACTTAAAATGCTCATTCAATTTTTTTTTTCTTTTTCTTTTTCTTTTGGACAGAAAACAGAGGCGCAGAGCTAACAATGGCATCCAAGGCTCACTTTAGGGCGCAATATTTTCTACAACAAACAAGGAATCTCCACAAGTGCATGCATATTAGTTTGTCCAATTATATATACTAACATATTGAGTTCTTTGTTTTAGAACTTCACCATACCATTGACCAAAAAAAAAAAAAATGAACTTCACCATACCCATTATCATCATCAGAAGTATATGTTTCAACAATCTTAAAGGTTTCTGGGTTAACTAAGGCTAGACATGGTAATTCTTTAACTTTTCTTTTCAAAAGTCTTACTACGTGAGTATGTTCTTTCCTTTTTGTTGTTCACCCATGTGAAGCTAAGTTAGATCCACTACATAAAGTGAAGATGTCGCCCATTATGTAAGACATTTTTATGGTGATCCTCTACTTCAGCAACACCTTTCTTAGTTTGTCATTTTGTTTCTAAGTTTAACTATTTAAGGAGAGAAAAAGGTTGGTGTAATTATTTTGCTATATACCGGCAGAAACTCCATTATGTAAAGTGGTAGTCATTTAACGATCCTTGTGCACATCAAGTACTTCTTCATATGGAGGGGCAATGATTTCTTTTTAATTTACTTTTATATATATATTCGCTCTCATCAGCTTGGAATCTAAAGGGGCCTACTCTGAACTTTGTTGCTGTGTTGATCTCTGTCCATTGTCGAAAAATTATTTGTACTTGTTCATCCAAAACATAAACAGTCATGTTTATCCAAATTTGGAGAGATTTTTCTGTTATCGTCATACGAGGTAATATATCACGTGTTCCTACCATCTGCGTTCTCATCACAACTAAAAATTTCTCCCAAATTTGAAACCCTAATTGCAAAATGCATGACACGTGTAATTAAGTAGTGTCAGTTTGCTGCAAAGGTAGGGGAGAGAGAGAGAGAGAGAGAGAGAGAGAGAGAGAAATATGAAGTTTGGTTAATTTATCCATCAAAGAGAAACAGGCGCGGATGAACACAATATTGCAGAACTAATAAAATATGATATTAGCTCAAATGAGAGTGGACGAAGGGAGAGGTGCACCAAAATTGAGCTCCCAACGGTAATGGTAGCAGAGGGGATGGAGACATGACGCTCCAAAATATAAAATATGGGACACACAAAATCTAACATAAATATATTAATATTCAGAAGTACATGCAATCAAAAATCAAGATTTTAAGATGGTTGTCGCCCCTAATTGAATTGTCCGACATATCCATATCAACGTGACCCACAATTCCCAACAACTCCCAGAGATCTAGACCCTTTACCTGCCTGGAAGACGGGAGAAAATGGGGGATATATACTTGAGAAAATCCCTGAATACTACAACAATTTCATGATGAGATGAGTTCAGTCAGAAAAGGAAAGAAAATCAGCTTAGAGGTGACTATATTAAATTGAGATTTTAAAAGTTTTTTTTAATGACTTTTAAAAATTCAAGGGTATTTAAGTAGGATTATTAATGAGTCTACAAAAGGTCAGGAGGTGTACTAACATTTTAAGAATACTTTCATGAAAAAAGTTTGGGTTAAGTTTATTTTAATAAAAAAAATCATGCTATAACTTTATTTAATTAAAAAAACTTAAATTTTAATGAAAAATCTTTCAATTTTAATAAAAAGACAAAAAAAACTTAAATTTTAATGAAAAAGACATAATTTTAATATGTTTAAAAAAAATTTAAAAATCTAATGCGTAGACCCACGCGTCCTCCCACAAATTATTTATGAAACTTAACGGAACTACACTGTTTATGAAACTTACTACACTGTTTATGGAAAACTTACAACACTGTTTATAAAACTTAACGATACTACATTGTTTATGAAATTTAACGGTGCTACACTGTTTATGAAACTTAACAATACTACACTGTTTATGAAATTTAATGCTACTACACTGTTTATGAAACTTAACGGTACTACATTCTTCTCTCTCCTCTTCTTGAATTTTCTTGGCACATTCTCATCTTCCAAACACGTTTTCTTCTTCTAATTTTCTTCAATACTCATCAAATTTTCTTTGTATCTCTTCAATTTCTTAACTTTCTACACCATCTACTTACTTTTCTTCTATTATCCGCCCATCTGCAGCTTCCTCTTCTTCACCCCCTACAATCTTAACTTTCTACACCATGTGTTATTATGTAAGTGGTGAGAATTTTTTTTTTTTTTTAACACAAGAATATCACCACTTTTATAGAGACATGGTGTATCTCTCCATGTTCCTGCCACATTGAAAAGTGTCTCGTCATCTTGACTACTATTGGGAAACAACCCACAAAAATAAAACTGGGAAAATGTAATTCAATTTGAAGTCTTTCTCTTATTCTAAGCAATAATAATAATAATAATAATAATAATAATAATAATAATAATAATGTCTTAATGATAGCTGACAATGGGGAGAAAATAGAGTGGAAATGGGGGGTGGGGTGGGGTGTATGTGCGCCAGTGCATGTGGTGTTTTTTTTTATGTTATTTATTTATTTATTTATTGCTTTGTTCCTTATCATTAAATAAAGTTTGTAGATGATTTTTTATTATAATGTAAAATTTTGAAAACCTTTTAATTAGTTTTCCTATATTTTAAGGGAGTTTATACAAGTCTATGGAAATTCGGAGTTTATTTACTTAGTAGTTTTAACGAGTTTATAAAAGTTTATAGAAATTCAGGTATTCATTCGGGTGTTTTTACGCATTGTTTTAAAAGAGTTTATAAAAGTTTTTGAAGTTTTTTGAAGGGGATGGATTTTAGTGGATTTGGAGAGATTTACCATACTTTAAGACTTTTGGCGCGAATTAATTTTTAGCCACTCAGTACACTTGTGAGTGAGGGGTTTTATGTTCGAATCTCATGAATGGGGAATTCGATACCAAATTAGGTTGCCCATTGTGTGGCTTTGCCAAACTCCTCCCTCCTCTTAGTGTAAAATATATCGTTATACTAAAAAAAAAATTATGTCCCTCCCACCAAGATTTTGAGGAAGGACAATACTTGTATCCCTCATCGGAAAATGCATATATCTCACTCTTTGCAAACGACGTATCATCACCTTTCAATTTTTATAATTGAAACTATTCAATTTCTTAATCTCCATTTGAAGATCATAGCAGCAAAAAATCATTCCAAATGGAGATCTTTTTTTTTTTTTTTTGCATGCAATATAGAACAAATAAATGAGTATCAAGTAACATATTCATGATCAATCGCTCATTTATTTGATACATTCAGATGATTAAATAACTACTAATTCGAGTGATTTTTTTTATATAGACAATCTTTAAATAAAGATTAAGAAATTGAACCATTCTGATTATGAATACGTTATTCACAAGAAGTGAGATATTTGCATTCTCACCCTAAAATTTTATCAAACTCTATAGATTTTAAACTTTTTTAAAATTCTTCAAAATTTCAAATAAATACACCCCTAATTATATATAATAAGGGTGTACTGTGGGCAGTGCGGGTAGTAATGTTTCTCTCATACATTGCGTGGGTGTTATAAATTGTATTTGGAGGGTACGTATTGAATGAGCTTGCAGATTTGGAAGTGAATGAAGTTTGAGGGAAAGGGAGGGAGGGGGGTCCCAATGTATTGACTCTTGCAAACTTTGTTTCAAAATTTTGTCCCACATTCTCATTCACTTTTCTCTTTAGGAAGATATAAATGATGAACAGTGGTACGTTCCAATTCATTTACATCAATTTAAAAAGATGCTGCGTCATGCAGAACTTACTAGATCTGGGTAAATCTATATCACATGCAACGAGTTTAAATCTTTTGCATTCAAAATATGTGACTTCTTTGTGATTTATCTACTTAAATGATATGTTTTTTTTTTTACTTAATTTATTTTTAATACATGGGATTCAAATGAAAAATCAAGATGTCAACAAATGAGATAAGTGAGGCTACATCGAATTTTGGGTACCTAAGATTTGAACTCATACGAAGCAGGCTGTCTGACCTAGCTAACCTCCCTTGCTATGAAATTAGAAATATACAAGTGTACTAGCATTGTGTAATTGTTATGTTGTACAGTTATTTTTATAAATGCCCAACAACAAAACAAAGATTCTGAAAAGTAATTTGATTGAACTTTGAATACATCGGGAACTGCTGAGTGTCCTAGCATTATGCATTGTTATGTTGGTTTCAGTATATAAATGCCCACCAAACAAGAAGTTGAATTATAATTTTGTTGAAATTAGAAAACAAGTTTAATTTGTATAGTTTCGTTTTTTTGGTCACCAGGTGACCATAGATTTACGGTCACTCACGTTTATACCAAAGATTAAAATTAAAACATTAAAAGCACATTGTTTATTCTCCATTCTTGATATCAAATGCCTATAGGTAATTGACTATACATTTCCCTCATTATCAAGTCAGGAAAATAAGACATATAAAGGTTAATTACTAAAACGCATGAAATAAGACCAATCCATATAAACAAGCACATCTACAAGAATGAGTAAAGATTTCGTTTTCTTCTAAGGCCAACCTAAGAACCAGCTTCATATAGATTTGTCCAAACAGGTATGCAGAACATGCTATTTAAAGTAGTGCGGTTCCAAATTCTACGGTCAGATAGGTATGCAGTGTTCTACAGATACCATTACTATGTACACATATTTTACTGTTTTACATCAATATCAAGATTCCATGGGTGAATTGTAAGTAAAGGAAATGAAAAGAGGAAGGATGGAATACACACACACACATATATAGAGAGTATGTAACAAGAAGAAAGATTCTATGGCTTAACTTGTTCTGACTTAAACACAGTAATATATATATATATATAGAGAGAGAGAGAGAGAGAGAGAGAGAGAGAGAGAAAAGGTTTATCCAAAACTACTAGTACAAGGTCATATGTTAGACTCTCTCTACATAGTTTTATATTAAAGGTATGAAACGTCGTGAACATGGTGAACTCATTCCCCTAATTACAGAGAGAGAGAGAGAGAGAGAGAGAGAGAGAGAGAGAGAGAGAGAGAGGTTGTTGAGGGTGGTAAATGTGAAAATTGATGGGTGATAACCTACAATTGGACTCATATGGAGGAGGGAAGTAAATGTGATAAATCAAATTATAGGGTACACACAGAACCACATAAATGAAACGCGCACACTCCCATGCTATAACTTGCAATTACTTCCCTTCCCCTATGTCACTCACCCTTCCCGGCCACCATGCATTGCAATTTGCACAAACTTGCAGTTTCACACTGACGAGTGACGTATTGTATTTTACTTTTGTGAACTTTTTCAGACAACTTAGACATTATGTACTGATTTAAGATGAACTTTATTGAACTAATTAGTTTTAACATATAGCAGCATGTTCGAACTTTCCAATTGCTTGGAGCAGGATGGGCAGGTTAATTGCATTAGCAGTACTCGAAGTTTAAATCCTAATGTTTAACCTAACTTATTTAATTCCTTATGACATGACTTAAGATTTCTCCTCCTTGGTTGTAATCCTTTATTTTATCGTTTTGTCTCTGAAATAAAAAAACATATTGCCGCGTGCAGAGTTAAAGAGAAGAAGAAGAAGGTGTACAATATGTCAATATCTAAGAATGGTTGAAATTGATTTGGATTTCATCGTAGGCACGGAGATGCCGTGTCTGAACGTACATTGAAAGCCTACATTTCAATTCGCCCATATAATATTAATATAATTAGGAAAACAAGTTGCAGATCGATTCTCTCAAATATATGTCCTCATCACCATCATCTGAAACTGGACCGGTCTCTCTATGGCTGCCTGCTGGCTGCTGTGGCCTGTTGTTGTGAGCCTGCAGGCCTGTCCTTTATTCATTTATTTCCGCTCTTTTCTTTCTCAAACACATGTATTTGTTCAATTTGTCCCATTTTACAGATTCCTATAATTTCTGTAATATTATAGATCGATATATTCGTACAAAATGTTGGGTATGAACTTTTGCCTAGCTATATAAAACAGTAGTTTAATGCAGACCCCATCATGCACCGAAAAAGAACCCAAGAAGACCAATTAAGCTACTTATATTACTGTATGTCTTAAACCGTGATTCTTAAACCCTAATTAATCCTAATTTGTTTCAGTTTATATCTAATTTTCTTTTTAAATTGGTTAATGTTGGTACGTTTTCTGAAGTACGGATCATAACTAATTTATATCACTGTTGTCTATATTTATTTCAAGAACTAATTCCATCAGTATTTATTTAGTTTCAAGTCAATGTTAGAAATATTAATGAACGATGAACAATTGACTAATGATGATGATCAATTCATCGCTGCCTCTCTGACCAACACTGGGATATATAGTACTATTGCTTTTGGGCGGAGAGGTCAATAGTTCTCAGAGGAACATTCAGCATAGATAACTAGAACAATATTCACACTTCTTTTCTTTCTCCCCTCCCGATAATGAAAGAATCAAAGTCCTTAAATTGATTCCTGACTTTTTAGAATTTTCTGCTGCCACCTCTGGTAAATTCACAATATTATTATGTCATTATTTTCAAATACGTATTATGCAACCCTACCAGTGCCATAAATTACTATAGACCATATTCATTCGACTCTGAAACATATTTCTACAAAAATTGAAACAATCTGAAAAGAAAAAAAAACCTAAACCCTAATGCAGCTTGCACCGAAACCCTAGCTTATAACTTCACATACCCCCAAGGCCTAGGTTTTCCAACGTTCGGAACATTGATTAATTAATTGATACATTTGATTATAAATTGAGAAACCCTAGCTACCTGACAAGTTACTGTGTAATTATACAACATCAATGGTTTTGTAGTAACCCTAATGAATGACATATATACACCACGATTTTTGTCATCTTCCATTTATAGCAAGTTAAACTGAAGAATCCACATTACTAACAGGGAAAATCCCAATTTTACCCTAGTCGACAATTATTTAATCTGTTTTTTTTTTTTAATATTATGTATTCATATAATTTCTTGGGATTCTGTGTTCCATTGGTGCCTCCTTGATTTCTGTACAAGATCCACGCAGACATAAATCTAACGGTTGAATCAGAACCAAGAAAATTGAATAGGAATTAACCTCTCTCTCTCTCTCTCTCTCTCTCTCATGCACAGTACTGCAACCAAGCAAGCCAGAGCCAAAAGCCAAAGCCCATGCATGATAAAAATGAAAACAGAGAGATGATGGTGATGGTTTAGTCCCTTTCACCTGAGCCTCTCTTATTTACTTCTTTTCGTATACTTAGCTACCACTACATATTCCATACATACTTTCTCTTGATCTTGACAATCCCTCCCCCCCTCACTTTTCGTCTTTTTGCCTTTTGTTAGCTTCTTGTTCCTTTTCTTTTGTTTTTTTTTTGGCCAACCAAAGCTATATATCCAGCCACCATAGATGGCCATGGAAGATCACGACCGTTCATCTGATTTTCTCGAAGAACATGAGCAGTACTGCTACAGCGATACCAATTGTAACTTGGGAACTCCGGGGGATGATCTTTTTAGCATATTACAGAGCTTAGATGATCATGGGTTTGGAGGAGGAGGCGGCGGAGTCGTAGACTTTCCTTCCCCGTTAGCTTCAGCACCATTCGATGATGACCAACTACTTGCTGTTTTTAGCTCATCACCAAAAGACCTCTCCTCCTCAGCTGATAAAACCGAGTTTGATGAAACTAACTCTCCACCCAAAACCAAGAGACTCAAGCTCTCATCAGCTGCCACCCCCACCGCCACTGCCACCACAACAACCACAAATTCTTCAGATCAGGATGGAGGGCGGATGTCTCATATAACGGTGGAGCGCAACCGCAGAAAGCAAATGAACGACCACTTGACTGTCTTGCGCTCTCTTATGCCTTGTTTCTATGTTAAACGAGTCAGTATCCTGCCTTCTATTTTATTTGGGTGATATTTTTGCAGTGACAAACTGCCAATAAACAATAACAGCTCCCATTTTCTTTTTCTTCTTTTTTTCCGGCATATGTTTCGTACCTTCACCATCAACCTCAAACTTAAAAGAAAAAAGTAGAAACACAGCACTATTGAGTATTAAGTTATTAACTAAGCATGAAGTGATTCATCTTATTTAATAAAATTTTCCTTGCACCGTCGATGTATTCTTAAAAAAAAAAGAACAAACAAATTATTCTTCTTTTTTCCATCCTTTTTCAAATGCGTATGATATATATATATATATATATATGAATTGTTTAGTGCAATTGTATGTATGTATATATATATTGTACCTAATTTTTTGGCTTAATTGATTCCTCAGGGAGATCAAGCATCAATCATTGGAGGGGTGGTTGATTACATCAATGAGCTGCAGCAAGTTCTTCAATCACTTGAAGCCAAAAAGCAACGAAAAGCATACAGCTGTGAAGTGTTAAGCAGCCCTAGGTTGCAGCAGGTTTCAAGTCCAAGGCCACCTGGTCCCTCACCACCAGTTCTCAGCCCTAGAAAGCCACCTCTCAGCCCTAGGCTCGGCGGCAGCAGCTTACCACCCATCAGCCCAAGAACTCCACAACCCACCAGCCCTTATAAGTCCACGGCAGCCAGGACAATATTGCAACAACCACAAATATTACCTGCAGCTGCTAATATTATTAGTAATTATCTGATTTCTAATCCAACAATGGCTGCTAGCTCATCACTTGAGCCATCCCCTACTTCTTCAAGTGCTACTTCCTCTATTAATAATAGTGTCGACAATCTGAACGAGCTTTTTGCCAACTCCAAGTCCGCCATTGCGGACGTGGAGGTGAAATTTTCCGGTCCAAATGTTCTTTTGAAAACAGTGTCTCCTCCGATACCCGGACAGGCTCTCAAAATCATTTCCGCTCTTGAAGACCTTTCGCTTGAAATTCTCCATGTCAGTGTCACCACCGTTGACGAAACCATGCTTAATTCCTTCACCATCAAGGTATTTTATTTTCATTTTACTTAAATACATGATTGATTAACTTTTTTACTTTCGTTAATAAGTTACTAGTTTTAGATTTGGTTTAAAAATATTTGCTTAGCAAACCAACCCTGTCAGACTTTTGTATTAAAGAGATGTGCTACATTGGTTGCGGGTGATGTCAGCCATTGATGCATTGTGATATATCCACTTCTATTAGTAGTTGACAATCACCCCCAACATGATATTAGTGGCTAATAGACACCAACAACATCGTAATGTGTGTTAACTACCTGGAAATACAATATAAAAACTAAAGCAATCGACATATCTAAACCTTGAAATAGTAAAATGTTAAATGCATAGAGGGTATTATCACTTTTACCAGATCATATGATACGTAAATATATGTTTGCTAGCTAGCTAGTTGCCATGGACATCATCTCACATTGTACTATACTTGCAGTAATTTCATTTCATGTTTTACAGATAAATCAGCGATATATGTGTACTCCGTTGGACCGTACGTGTATGATTTTAAAAAGTGTTGAAAACTAGGGCATCTTTCACTTTCAGACATTGATTTTCTAGCTACCAAGTACAGATGTATATATTAAAAAAGGGATTGTTTGAATAATGGGGTGACTAAATTGTGATTTTATTGAAGCTAGCTGCTAATGATTGGTATGTGCTTTCTTGCTTTCTTGCTAGATTGGAATTGAATGCCAACTTAGTGCCGAGGAACTCGCTCACCAAATCCAGCAAACATTCTGCTAATTGAGTCTCCTAGCTTGAGAATTTTATAGTGCTTCGAAGTATTTTATACATTGAAAATTTTAATCGTTAGATCTTTAATTATTATATTTTTAATCAACGATCTAACAATTAAAAGTTCCAAAATATAGAATATCCCGGAGTACACTAAAATATCCCACGGTAGATATCATATTTCATCAGTCGATCAAAATTGCCCTAACTCCAACTCTCTATTTGTCTCTCATCTCCGAAATGGTGCTACTAAATAGAATGTGGAAAGCCATGCATTTTGCCATATTCTTATTAACCAATGTAATTGTAGATCAGTAATAACTTTGTTTTACTTTTAGCTAGCCTAGCTAGGGTAACCCTTTGTAATTTTCAATTAAGCAATCTCAAGGTCTTATTTCATGTATACATACATGCATGAATTTTAATTTCACATTTCTTTTTTATTAATGAACGAAAAAGCTACATGTGGATGTGAATATATTGTCCATGCATGGATACTACTCCTTGGATCTGATAATTAATTTCCAAACAAGAAAGAAGGAAGTTATATAACTTCTTCTTGCTTCTACTTATGGAAAGTATTTAATTACTAATGTTATATAATGAGACTTGACATTCTCCTATATAGCTAAGTCTTAAACATTATCATCTGGCATAACCAATTCACTTGTGCTATAAAACATGAATTAGTTTTAATGTTCCATAAAGTATAAACTCACTGTCACACATATTATTGTAAAACGCAAATTAATTTACATCGTGTTTACCCCTTTCTTTCAACTTCATTTTTTTGAAATTAAATGATGGGTACTAGACTTCTAGTACTATAACCATTTGTTGAGAGTAGGTCAAAATCAAATGCAACGAAGACGAAGATGTGAGACCCTTATGTTATGTATCCATATAAAGATCTTTGCCTATAAGTTGGACATCGTTTTCCCTCCAAATCAAACTAAATTCTAGTTTGTAGCGCTAGGTGGCTCATGATTACCAAACCCTAAAAGAATAGACATGTATACAAGAACATTGTAACACACATCAATAAAGTGGGGCAAATTGTTACAAGTTCCATTGGTTTTTTTCATCTGAGATGCCTCTTTTGGTTAACAACATGTTTTGAGGCTGGGAAGTATATATTTGTATGCATACATTATTCGTCCTTCTATATGCAAAGTTCGAATCTCCCTGTAGTTTGGTTTAGAATAAAATATCCTTCAAATAAAAGGAAAAGAGATACTGGGCCAAACCTAGCTACTCTGCAATGGGCCTCTGCATGAGTCGATTTAGATATCACTCCTGATTCGGCCCTTAATAAAAAAGATATAGAAAAAAAATTTATTCAGTTTGTTTATCTGAATAAAATTGGAAAAGTTACATCTGTTTTCTTTTTTCCCTAAATGGAACATATATCAAACAGCTTAACAGATGTTACACTACACAACCTTCTAATGTTTCTCACTGATGCTACGAAGAAAATATACCTAAAATTCAAAATGCTTATTTCAAATTTTATATGCTAATTAATTTCCCTCACTTTCTGTATTGTGGGAGCCTATGAAATTAGGAAAAGAACCCTGGACCGTCAAATGAGAAGTTGGGGAACAAGTGATCATCCTGACCAAATGGGAAATCCAAACCAACACTTGGAGAGTTGGCAGCTGAAGTTGCAGGCGAGATTATATCTCCACTCTGAAAATTTTGTTCAGCTCCAAAACCCTGCTGAGACATTGAGAAATAGTTTGTTCCTGAAGTTGTAGGTCCCGCAAAGGGAGGAGAAAAACTTCCCAGATAATTGTTGTTCAGTGGTGAGGGATTGTTGAAGGAGGGGAACAGTTCCTCGCTAATGTCTAACCCTTCACTAATGACTCTGAGGCCTTCCGGTATGTTTAAGAGCATGTTTTGTTGCGAATGTTGCTGATTTTGTTGAGATTCCACTAGGTTATTCTGCGGTTCCGTCCTTTCGGGCGGCAACGGTGACGGTGAAGGGGGAGTACTTGTGCCGGGAGAGGCTTGTGTACATGTGTGCCTTCCTCTGTATGTAATTTCGAAGATCGTTGGGTCTTCGTCGGAACGTTGGACTTGCTTTGTGGCAAAACAGTCCTGGACGTTTCGGTGAGTGCACCGGTAGTAGCCTCTGCCAAGGTGAACAAATCTAATGTTATGCACTTGCATGAAGTTTTTTGGTCGACGGTTCAGTTGACCAGTCATAAAGGGTAACAAATTGTTCAAATGATCAAGTCATGCTATCTTATATTTACTATATAGAGCTTCTTGTAATTTAACTTGTGTGGACAATTTTAGTCGTCATTATCTTACATGATTGTATAAGAAAGAAGAATACTCGTGAAATTGTTGAATATCATTTTTCTATCTGTCTGTCTCATCACATGACAGTCATTTGATGAGAAAGATATGATGAAAATGACATAGAGATCTGGAATATACAATAGAGATAACTAAGTTTTCCTTGCCACAAAGAGACTTGTTAATGTCATAGCAATTGAAGTATATAATTGTAGTTAATTTGAAGAAATGTATGAAGAAAATGTAAAGTCCTATACCTTGGATATCTGGCTCCAAGTATGTCCTTCTGGCCATACTTTCTCCAACTAAATCCATCATCAAGAGGCCCCTCAAGCCTCATACCAGATGAAACTCTTATTTGTTGTGTCCACCTTGGCAGAGTTTTCCTGCAACATTCACGAAAATTCAAAATGACCACCAATGAACGTCACCTTAAGTACGAAAACATAATCACGAAAATCTCTTTCTATATTAACCTCTTCCTAGAGGAATCTTTGTTGTCGTGGTCGGAGTCCTCACTCCAGGGGCTTCCATTTAGTGAATGGGGCGGAGACTCAACCATTCGAGTTGCGACATGACCTGTGGGCTGTTGTTGCTCACACCCTGAGGGTGAGCCGATAGAGTTCAGAATGGAGAGCGCCTTTTCGTACGATAGTACGATCTTTTGAACAAGCAGTTCCCGGGTTCCATGAGAGGAAGATGGAGCGTTGAGATCGATCTGTAGCTGCCTAGCCAGCTCCCTCCCTTGTGCTAGCTCATTTACAAGACTCCTTTGCTCCCAATGTATATTGCAGTTCTCCATCTGTTAACAGTAGCACATGAGAGATACAGGAACAAAGTTATCTGTCAAGATTTCGGGGTCGGGCCAACGGGAAATATAACAAAAACAAGAACTGGGTTTCCAATCGGAGACGGAAACAACCAAAACAAGAAGGGGGAGACAGATTTGTGTGAAGCGTAACTGCGTAACTAAGCTGAGTTTTCGTGTTTTGGATTCGTGTGTGTAATGACCGATTAGTGAGATGGGAAGAATCTGATGGTGGAAAATTGATGAGGAAGGAGAGGGAGAGATGGTTATGGGGATTTAAGGGAAGGTTGTTTTTGAATCAAAAGAAAGTGAGGGAAAGAAATCGAGAAGTTTGACTGAGAAGATCCGAGTGGAATTTCTTCATGGGAGACCAGTCTTTGGTCATAGGAATTAGGGGGTTCAAAGTTTAGAGCAAGAGGAGGAAGTCGAGTTGCTGACCGTTTCAGCCTTCATGTGCTTTTCCCTTCCCATAAGCTACAGCTAAACACCAAAATTATATATCTCAACATCTCACTTTGTGATTTGATGATTTTGAATAGGAGGGAAATGAAAGAGAGTCAACGACTAAGCAAAAGAGGTAGGAGGAAGACCAGAGAATCTTCAAACCTAGTTCCGCGTTGTTACTACTACAACCATTCTACTAAGTTAATTACAAAATTACCCTTGAATTTTAGTAGGTTATTTTGCCCCTTCCTTACGCTCTGTTAAACAGGAGAGGTATAGCTATGGTCAGGTATTCTTTGATTATTTATTTTTAGTAGAATGAATTGTTTTTTGACCCAAAAACTACTAAAAAAACACATGTTAAAAATAATATTTATTATATCATGTTGCTTATTGTCGATTTTCCTGTAGTGAAACTTTTTTATGGTTTAGTCAGTTTAAATCGTCCTCACTTTTTTCAAATAATTTTTCAAAATTTATTATAATTGAGAAAATGGTTCTAAACTATAACAATAATTTAGAAGAAAGAGTTTCGAATCCAGAACACATAAATAAAAAGCTAACATTTTATCCATTATGATATTAGACCACATGTTCTCGTTAAAAGAGACTAAGCCAACCAAAATGATAGATTAGATTTGTTTGTTTGGCCCATTTTTTAGCATATATGCCTACTCTCAAACATAAGTGGACGCGTGCCAAGAGATGAAGAGCATTCTAGTCGTCACGTGCTACTCTATTAACGTTTATAACAATACACTTTCTATCCTTAACAATCACACTTTTCAAAAGTTTATGAGCTAATTTGAGACAAAATAAAAGGACCAAAGCCGAAAACTCGAGAGTTTAGGGGGCAAATAAGAAAAAAAAAGTGAAAGCCGCGCATTTGGCAGACTTTTGTTAAATAAAGTCAAAGGTAACCAATTAGCAAGTAAAAAACAGAGGTTCCCTTAAATGAAAGAACTTATATGCACTCACGTAAAGTGCAATACATCACCAATCACATAAATCATGCGAAAAATTTAAATCATGGTGTATAATAAAATTCTTACCGAAGAATAAAAATAAAAAAATAAATAAAAAAATAAACCCGTACCATCTTGAGGAGTGAAATAAAATTCAATGAATGGATTAATCCTTATACAAATGTTTGATACAGAATTGAGAATACAACTCAGCTACCTACTCCTCATTAAGACATCAATCACTACCTCATAAAACCTGCTATTACATAAGATTAACCTGTATTTAGTATTCCTGAGAGTTTATACATGTGATCAAAACATCGTCGTCTACCTCGAACTAAAATCGTAACCTGACAGTAAGAATATCCTCGGATTATCTTGTAGAAACTGTACCGTGACCACGAAAGGATCCAACTCTAGAAATGCCCGAGTCGTTTAGTTTGTCAACTACTTGATGAAGTACGCAGTTAAATCTGTCATCAAATTACTATAAGATGCACAAAATGTATTCAGATGCATTAAATCTCCCTTAATGGTTATCCAAATTGTACAAAAGCCTGAATTTTTTATAATTGGTACCATGTACATGTGTCCATATGCGATATAATGAGTTTAGAAATAAAGCAGAGCATGAGCGAGATCAGTTTAGATTGCAAACCAACAACAAACAAAACAACAAATAAAACCTTTTCCCACTAAGTGGAGTCGGCTATATGAATCCTAGAACGCCATTTGCGCTCGGTTTTGTGTCATGTCCTCCGTTAGATCCAAGTACTCAAGTCTTTTCTTAGGGTCTCTTCCAAAGTTTTCCTAGGTCTTCCTCTACCCCTTTGGCCCTGAACCTCTGTCCCGTAGTCACATTTTCGAACCGGAGCGTCAGTAGGCCTTCTTTGCACATGTCCAAACCACCGGAACCGATTTTCTCTCATATTTCCTTCAATTTTGGCTACTCCTACTTTACCTCGGATAACCTCATTCCCAATCTTATCCTTTATCGTGTGCCCATACATCCCACGAAGCATCCTCATCTCCGCTACACCCATTTTGTGTACGTTGATGCTTCACTGCCCAACATTCTGTGCCATACAACATCGCTGGCCTTATTGCCGTCCTATTAAAATTTTTCCTTGAACTTCAGTGGCCTACGACGGTCACACAACACGCCGGATGCACTCTTACACTTCATCCATCCAACTTGTATTCTATGGTTGAGATCTCCATCTAATTCTCCGTTCTCTTGCAAGATAGATCCTAGGTAGCGAAAACGGTCAATTTTTGTGATCTTCGCTAGATTGCTCCGGTCATTAGTGTGGATAAGTATATAAATGGATAGAGATAGGAAAGCAAACACAAGATGTACGTGGTTCACCCAGATTGGCTACGTCCACGGAATAGAGGAGTTCTCATTAATTGTGAAGGGTTTACACAAAAGCAAACACAAGATGTACGTGGTTCACCCAGATTGGCTACGTCCACGGAATAGAGGAGTTCTCATTAATTGTGAAGGGTTTACACAAGTACATAGGTTCAAGCTCTCCTTTAGTGAGTACAAGTGAATGATTTAGTACAAATGACATTAGGAAATATTGTGGGAGAATGATCTCGTAGCCACGAAACTTCTAAGTACCGGAGTGTGGTATCGTCTTGACTTGCCTTATCTGTCTCATAGGTAGATGTGGCATCTTCTCTGGAAGTACTATTCCTCCATCCAGGCAGGTGGTATGGTATCTGTAACTGGTGGAGATGCACAAGGTAATGTATCAATTTCACTTGAAACTTACTTGTAGTTTCATGCTTGGTCAAGCGCGATACAAACCATGTAGTAGGAGTCCCCCCAAGTCGCCGAGCTAGGGGGATCTGCTGAAAGAGGTGACAGACAAAGGTAAGCAATCAGAGCTCCGGCTGATTGTTCACATTCTCCCTATCTTGCAGGCAGCATGAAGGATAAAAGAAGAAGAAAAATGAGGAGAGATGATATGAGATACTTTTGCTTTTGAAGAGAAGTAACTTTCCACAGGCTTATTCTTGAACTGGGCTGGAGGGTTTTCTGGTTTCCTCAAGAGTATAAGGCCGACTGAAGAATTTGAGGGTCAAAACAAGTCCATCAAATCTAGAGTACGTTCGACCCTGCTGATATGAGATACTTTTGCTTTTGACAGAGTAGTGAATGTATCGGCACGTGTGTTGTTACGCTTGTCTCCACATGCTTCCTTGTATCCTTCTCACTTGCCCTATTTGTTCCTCAGGCAGATGCGGTATCTTCCCTGGAAGCATAAGATGTTGAAGATGAGTACTCGAGAGCAATGTCAGGTAAGTAATCAGGTAAGGGGTTCCAGGCAGTCAGTTCCTGGCTGGAAGCTTGATTCCAAGTGCTGACTGATTGCTCTCTTTCTCCTTGTCTTGCAGGTAAGAATAAGGCCAAAGGAAAAGACAGGGAAAAAACATGATATGGGATACTCTTGCTTTTAACCCTAATGATATGAGATATTCTTACTCTAGTATAGCTTGTTTACAGAGGTATTATCGGGGGGAAAGAAAGCTGAATATTTCGAAAGGCTTCGTTGGGAGTACCCTCTCAGATAAGAGAAAGGGTTGAGCATTTTTGCAGGTCTGCCTGTCCGTTAGGGATGGAGGTCGACATATATAGGAGTCTCCCTAACATCAAGTAATAATGCTATTCCTTTACCCTGCTTGGTTATAGCACGGTAGTGGGAGCTGCCAGCTTCACATGTTTTAACCCTGTCAGAACACTTTGAAAAAGTGGTCTGTGGTATATGGAAAGCTGATGTTGCGTGTGAAGATTATAGACAAGCTTTATCCAAGGAGATCTAGCTCTTGAAGTTGGGAAAGTGGTGCCTCTTCGATTTTCGAACAAGCAATCCTGTCGGGGATCTGGCTCTCGAGATTCGGAGAACGATGCCTCTTCGATTTTTGAGAAAGCAATCCTGCTGGGGGTCTGGCTCTCGAGATTCGGAGAGCGGTGTCTCTTCGATTTTTTAGAAAGTAATCATGTTGGGAGTCTGGCTCTCGAGATTTGGAGGGCGGTGCCTCTTCGATTTTGGAGCAAGCAATCTTGTTGGGAGTGTTTTCTCGAATGTGAGTAAAGGTTGGACGTGTTTGCTAGTCTACCTTGCCACGAAGCACAAATGTTGACACACAGGGACTTTCCAATTATCCAGCAGTGGTACTGTTCCTTTACCCTCTCTTCGATTTTTGAGAAAGTAATCATGTTGGGAGTCTGGCTCTCGAGATTCGGAGGGCGGTGCCTCTTCGATTTTGGAGCAAGCAATCTTGTTGGGAGTGTTTTCTCGAATGTGAGTAAATGTTTGGCATGTTTGCTAGTCTACCTTGCCACGAAGCACAAAGGTTGACACACAGGGACTTTCCAATTATCCAGCAGTGGTAATGTTCCTTTACCCTCTCTTCGATTATTGAGAAAGTAATCATGTTGGGAGTCTGGCTCTCGAGATTCGAAGGGCGGTGCCTCTTCGATTTTGGAGCAAGCAATCTTGTTGGGAGTGTTTTCTCGAATGTGAGTACAGGTTGGGCATGTTTGCTAGTCTACCTTGCCACGAAGCACAGAGGTTGACACACCGGGACTTTCCAATTATCCAGCAGTGGTACTGTTCCTTTACCCTTGTGGGTAATAATATGGTAGCTAGACCTTCAAAATTTATGTGTTTAAACTTTGTTAGTGTTGTTTCTTTGCAATTCTTTTACCCTTCTTGGTCAGAGCGATGTAGTGGGAGCTGCAAGCTTCACGTGTCTCAACTTTGTCAGAGAACTTTGGCAAAGTTATCTGTGGTACCCATGAGCTACTGTTGCGTGTGGGAAGTGGGTGATTGAACAGTACGATTCATGTGCTTTCTACTTCGTCAGAAATCTTCGACAGAATGCCCATAATTTCCGCAAAGCTGAGTGTGCGTGTGACAGGTGCTGACAAGGCTGGAAAAGTAGGTGCCTCTTCGATTTCTGAGATCGGCCCTCGTGGTATCTGAGCATCCCAGCTTTTGAGAAAGCAAGCCTCTTCGATTTCTGAGATCGGCCTTCGTGGTCTTTGAGCAGCCCAGCTTTTGAGAAAGCAAACGCCTCTTCGATTTCTGAGATCGACCCTCGTGGTCTCTGAGCAGCTCAACTTTTGAGAAAGCAAACGCCTCTTCGATTTCTGAGCAGGCGCCTCTTCGATTTCTGAAGCTTCGTCGAGTGCAGATTTTTATAGGGGCTAACATTAAGTTCCAAAGCACACTTGAATATCCACCAGTAGAAGCTCCATTCTTGCACTTCTAAGATCTTGATTTGTCCGACCTCTTCTCTCTTCAACACCTTTGAAAATGTCTGGCCCCTCCGACCGTCGTTTTGACTTCAACCTTGTTGAAGAGGCAGCCCCGCCTTCTCCAGACAACATATGGTGCCCATCCTTCGTCTCCCCTACTGGTCCTCTTACCGTTGGGGATTCCGTGATGAAGAATGATATGACCGCTGCGGTAGTGGCCAGGAACCTTCTTCTCACTCCCAAAGATAACAGACTACTTTCCAAACGGTCTGATGAGTTGGCTGTTAAGGATTCTCTGGCTCTCAGTGTTCAGTGTGCAGGTTCTGTGTCTAATATGGCCCAACGCCTATTTGCTCGAACCCGCCAAGTTGAATCATTGGCGGCTGAAGTGATGAGTCTCAAACAGGAGATTAGAGGGCTCAAGCATGAGAATAAACAGTTGCACCGGCTCGCACATGACTATGCTACAAACATGAAGAGGAAGCTTGACCAGATGAAGGAATCTGATGGTCAGGTTTTACTTGATCATCAGAGAATTTGTGGGTTTGTTCCAAAGGCATTTATTGCCTTCGTCTTCTGGGGCTGTACCGCGTAATGAAGCTCCAAATGATCAACCTCTGATGCCTCATCCTTCTAGGGTTTTGTCCAGTACTGAGGCTCCGAATGATCCTCCTCCGGTGCCTTCTCTTTCTGGGGCTCTACCGCCTGCTGCTGAGACTTCTCCTAAGCAACCTTTGTGAAGGCTCCCTCTTGTTTGTTTATTTTGACTCAAGTATATGTACATATTTGTAACTTATCGGGGATATCAATAAATAAGCTTTCATTCATTTCAACGTATTGTGTTAAATACACCAAAGCCTTCTTCGCTAAGTTCTTTGAATTTTTTCTTTTGTTGAAGCTTGTATGTTGAAGCTTTGTGAGTGGAGCATATAGGTTGAGGTAGTGTTCCCTTAATTTCCCGAGTGAGGAAAACTTCTTGGTTGGAGACTTGGAAAATCCAAGTCACTGAGTGGGATCGGCTATATGAATCTTAGAACGCCATTGTGTTCTGTCCTGTGTCATGTCCTCCGTTAGATCCAAGTACTCTAAGTCTTTTCTTAGGGTCTCTTCCAAAGTTTTCCTAGGTCTTCCTCTGCCCCTTCGGCCCTGAACCTCTGTCCCATAGTCGCATCTTCTAATCGGAGCGTCAGTAGGCCTTCTTTTGCACATGTCCAAACCACCGTAACCGATTTTTCTCTCATCTTTCCTTCAATTTCGGCTACTCCTACTTTACCCCGGATATCCTCATTCCTAATCTTATCCTTTCTCGTGTGCCCACACATCCAACGAAGCATCCTCATCTCCGCTACACCCATTTTGTGTACGTGTTGATGCTTCACCGCCCAACATTCTGTGCTATACAGCATCGCCGGCCTTATTGCCGTCCTATAAAATTTTCCCTTGAGCTTCAGTGGCATACGGCGGTCACACAACACGCCGGATGCACTCTTCCACTTCATCCATCCAGCTTGTATTCTATGGTTGAGATCTCCATCTAATTCTCCGTTCTTTTGCAAGATAGATCCTAGGTAACGAAAACGGTCGCTCTTTGGTATTTCTTGATCTCCGATCCTCACCCCTAACTCGTTTTGGCCTCCATTTGCACTGAACTTGCACTCCATATATTCTGTCAGTTTAGATTGCAAACCAAAAGACTAAATTCATATGGCAAGTAGCAACGAGGATAATGCAATTCTTCTTTACCTGTGACAGCCCTGAGCTCGGATGTATATGGACAGTCTGCGGATGTTTGACCGTTCTATAAGATCCATTCTTTTGAAGCTTTGCAGAATGAGGGAAGAAACCTGATAGAAATAGCAACCATTACAGTTTAATTCAACAATGAACAAGAGTAAAAGGAAGAAGGATTTCACTTTTAGATCATTATGGTTTATAACGGTAATGGTATATTTACCAGATGTAATGGCCTTCTTTATAGTCTCGTTATCACTCATATTTGAAACCAGCTCAATCTCCACCCTCTCCAAGAGTCCCTCGAGCTGGTCTCTAATATCTCTAGCACGCTTCATGCTTCTCACCTGTAAGAGGAGTGTTGATAAATGTTCAAGAGTCAATATAGTGTAAATTGATATGGTAAAAGCAAGATGTTAATCAGTACCTATAAGTAAATGGAAACACCTAAACTAGTATCAATGTTTCAAATAAAAAATACATCAAGATTTTAACAAGCATCTGTCTCAAAGTATCAAAATGTACCTGTACATAATTCTCGTAACACCACTGGGTTGAATAATTGGTCTCTTTCCATGAATTATAAACCTATGATTATAAGAAGACAAAAACAGAAACAAATGGGGTCAATAACAACTGAAATAATACTTAACGCAGTTAGTAATTTATCTTAATTAGCTTGTTTCTGATTCAACGGTTCTTATATCTTTTATAATAGAATCAGTAACAACCTCATTCAATTCATTATAAGTTTATAACTACTTAACGTTAAAATATGAACTTTACCATTTTCCGATCCCACAAGTCCCAAAGTCATGGTTTAAAGCCGTAAACATCAGACATGTTCACTAAAGGGAATATGGAAACAAAACTATAAAGTAAAGGAAGGCGAAAGTATAACTTGAGCAACGCAATGTGATCTCCGACGTTCCCCATGTGAAAATTCAATCGTGCATTGTCCGCATGGACTTGCTTGTCCTTTGGACGGTAAAAGATTGAAATTACCAATGGAAAGCATGGCAGCAATGGAAATAATCTCATCTGAACACTTGTACTTATCAGAAGCAACTATCATCTTAGATAGCATGGGGTCAAGTGGAAACTCTGCCATCCTTCGACCAACTTTAGTCAACTCACCCACCTTATTTAATGCACTTAGTGCAAATAAAAGTTCCAGGGCTTTTAGTAATGCTTCAGATGGTGGAGGGTCCATAAAATCAAAATGTAACAAGTCATGAATACCAAGGCTCTTCAATGAAAGCACAACATTTGCGAGATTAGTCCTCTGCACTTCTGGTACTGTGTTGTCGTCCAAATCATTGTAATAATTGTAGGCAGTATATAAGCGGTAGCACTTTCCAGGACCCGTTCGACCAGATCGACCTGCCCTCTGCATTGCTGATGCCTTTGAGATGGGAGTGATTAACAACGACTCCATACCAGTCCTTGGATTATAGGACTTCATCTTGCAAAAACCAGGGTCAATAACATATTTGATCCCATCAATGGTAAGCGAAGTTTCTGCAATATTTGTGGCAAGGATAACCTTCCTTGCCCCTTCAGTGTGTGGGTTTCAAAAATTTTTGATTGCAGCTCAGTTGGTAGGTTTGCATATATGGGACAAATAATCAGCTCAGCAATTTTTGTCCCTAGACCCCGTGTTCTGTGCTTCATTATTTCTTCTGCTGTCTCGATTTCTTCTTGACCAGTGAGGAACACCAATATATCTCCTGGAGGTTGCGTCACATGGATTTGGAGTGCAGTTACAATTGCTGCATCTAAGTAATCAGCTTCTGGTGCTTTCGTGTAATGTATTTCAACAGGATACCTCCTCCCAGGAATTTTAAAAATTGGAGCAGAATCAAAATAATCACTGAACTTTTCAGCATCAAGCGTTGCACTTGAGATAAGCAGTTTAAGATCGGGTCTAAACCGAGCAATATCCTATTACAAAAACCACTACCCATCAGATATCCGAAGAAACCAAAGGTATCTATGAGTCTATTATTAAGTGCTTCCAGCAGGGTGGTCATTATAAAATAATTTTCCAAGAAAAACAAGACTATCAGCTCAAATTTTCGGCACACATAAGCAGAGTTATTTCATAAAGCATGCATAATACTTCCACTAAAAAAGAAGAAATTATGCAAAGCCAAGAAAACTAAATCTTCAACCGTGGTCAACTAATCAATTATCCCCCCACAAAGGTGCACAAGAGTCACTTAAAGATTGGAAGCACTGATGGTTCGGTCCAGTCATTAACGAATAATGCTCTTCACAAAAATAACTTTAAATAAATGACTAGAAAACATGAAAGAGTTATTGCTCACCTTTACTAATCCAAATAGAATATCAGTTGACAGTGTTCGCTCATGGGCCTCGTCCACCATCACGACACTGAAACAATTGCAGATAAACGGTGAGAGTGAGACAAAGTGAAAAAACCAATATTCAACCACTATGCCACTAAGTTACCTTACCTGTAGCTAGCCAGATCGGGTTCACCAAGGAATTCTTGCAACAGCATTCCATCTGTCATATATTTCAAAACAGTCTTTTCGGATGTGCAATCCTCAAAACGAATGGAATAACCAACCTGTATATGGCATAAAAAGCACCCACTACTGTTAAAAGAGGTCAGATTGCCACTACCTCTATTGTTTTTTCTAGTTTTGGGTACACTTTCAGAACAGATAAAGAAACTAGAAAAACATTTCAAATTTGTAAACAAAGAATAATGAATATCATCAAAATAAGTACCATCCATCAGAACATCAGAGTGAGCATCACCTTTAATGCAGGTCATTGATGCTTCTTTTAATCCATTCGGGTTACTAACTTATTAGTTATTAGCATAATGAAAAACGATCAATTCAACGAAATGGGGATACCTCATGCCCAAGTTTAACCCCCATTTCTTGAGAAACCCTTGCAGCAACACTCATAGCAGCAACTCGCCGTGGTTGTGTGCATCCAATCTGAAAGAAAAATGAATAAGATTCCATAAGTTCGACTACCATCAGATAGTTATAGTATAATAATAAGTCCACCTTTTTAATGGTCTAATATTTTTTAAACCTTTCAGGTAGTTTGAGAAAGTTAATAGATTGTTAGAGTCTCCATAAGGTAAAGACATTAAAAATACAACGTTGCAAAAACCAAAAAAGAAAATTCTGTTTTTGTTTTATTAGCCACATAAGTAAAAAAAGGGCAAAAGGTTTATGACAATGAGCTATCTCGTATTACCGTCCATTTCAATAATAATATCATACTAGAGTCGAATGTTTGCATGATAAACATAGACAGATTTCTATCACATAACCCAAAAATTGCAAGAAACAAAGCTTACACCTTTCCACGCTTTGTGTATCCGGCCTCGTGAAGATATTGGGGTATCTGTGTAGTTTTTCCAGAACCGGTTTCACCAACAATAATAAGGACCTACAAAACCAGAAGACAAAGGCATGTAATACAAGAAAATGCTTAGAGATTTGTTGATATGATATTTATTAGAATTCTTTCTGGCTTCTATTGTGAAAGTAAAACACATAACCATTTGGCGCAAGATAATGATCTACTACGGTGCATTTGAATGAATGCATTTCTAGTAAAAAAATAATAAATTTGTAACAGAAAAGATTAAACAAAAACCTGATGTTTTTCAACAGCATCGAGCAATGATTCACGGTATGTGTAGATGGGTAATGTTTTTCTATCCTCCTGAATGAACAAAAACATATATGATTAGTAAAATACAACAATATAATCTCCTATAATTTAATACCATTAAAGGTTAATTATATAGTTAACTCATAAATTCATAAAAGACAGGCACAAATTAAATTGACACTGAAAGAACCTTTATTGCTTCAATAATGTATGCATCTTTTAGTGATATTCATTCATTCTCTTCAGTTTTTTCTTTAAATGTTCTGAACAATTTATTGGTAAAGAGAAAATTTTAATAGGAGAAAGAAAATAGGAAAACAAAGAGGGTGGTCCAGCGGACCAGCCCAAACTGTGAAGCCAAAATAAAGAACAGAAAACCAACCAACAGCCTAAAAAAACAAAAACAAAGAGCTGCCTTCCAATCTAATACGTCATACCAAACACAGTTAAACGTCTTAGCAAAAAGCCAAGGAAAATATAAAGAAGCAAAAAAAAAAAAAAAAAAAAAAAAAAACAGAAATTATCAGCAACCTGGAGCTTCTCTAAGGCTGATTTCACCCTCGACACAAGTAACTCGGAGGGTTCCCCATCATCATCAAACTGTACCCACAAAATAAGCAAATGAGAAGTGTACCGTGATACCAGAGAAATGTGTCAAATCAAAACTGGTGCTGTTAATAGATATACCTTATCACCATCCATCACCGATGCCTTGATAAACTCAATCTGGTCCTCAAATACAATTCTAAACATCAAAAGGCATAGGTTAAAAAACTTAGCATGCTTATGCACAAACAAAAGAAGCTATCAAAGCATGCCTCCGCTATAAATTTGGTTCACTTATTACACATTGCAACTTCAGATGGTGATAACAAGCAGGTAAAACAGAAGCAAAAGGATAAAACTTTGTAAACTTACCGATAGTCATCTGACATTTGCTTTTTATTTTTTGAACCAAATTTCAGCGTTGCCTTTCCTGCAAGATGATGACCTCAAGATGAATATTTCTGACATTTGTCTAAATTATATAAGAAGGTTCACCTAACGGACGCTAAAACTTCACCCTGAACTCACCAATTTGGTGATCCTCCCAAGCTTCCTGTTCTGCAAATGGGATCATTTTATCCCCAGCACTCTGGTCCCTATACAACAAAATAGCTATTAGAAAAATTTCAAGAAGACCAGTATTAAGACTGAAATCATTTATGCCAGTTAGGAATATGTTTGGGTATAGTAATTGTAGTTATTCTTAACATTTCCTAAATAATTGCCTGTAGCGTTGCACAGCCACAGAAAATCTCTTCTCCTGATTAACACCATTCTTGTCATCATAGGCATCCGGCATCCTGTACTGCATTACCAAAAAAAAAATGAAAGTATAGCACATAATCAGATGATAACATTGATGTGTAAGGAGATCAAGGAAGCATTAAAGTCATTTGATCACTCCAAAGTGAACAGGAAGAAAATTCTCAGTAGAAACTCTTCTCAAAACAGCTCACATAGGCAACCTAGCTAACCGTGGTTAATTATCAAAAACCCCCCATTTACCTCATTGGCATCCTCAGGCTCATCTGACCTCTTCCTCACAATTTCGTATATTTGTTTCTTGTAACTGTACAGAAAATAATGAATATGACAAAAATTAGATTCTGGAAATAGAAATGGCTGCCGATAAAACAACTGAACATATTTTCTTATTTTTAGTTGGTTCATCTAAGTTATTAAATGATAGGCAGTAACCCAAGACTGTGCAGAACAAAAAAAATTCAGCACTGCTTTTTCATTACTGTGCAGAACAAAAAAAATTCAGCAACTGCTTTTTCATTACCTTAATTCGCGATATTCTGCTTCAGTGAGTTTCACGCCATCAAATAAGTATTGCTCATCCTCTAAATCATCTCTGAGATACATATCAAAACAATAATTAACATTGATTGTGGGAGGAGGGGAAGGAAGTGGTGTGAGCTAACTTTAGGAAAAGGCAAAAAGTAGTTCTTTTCGAACCTGATTTCCTCCAACTTCTTTTGCTCCCTTTTCTTTAGATATTCTTGTCTTGAAACTTTTCTGAAGCAGAGAATAAAAATATCAGACCACTTGCTTATCAATACACATAAACCAAGAACCCTGCTTGGTGACATATGGAAAACACACACATATGTATATATTTTTTATGAGTGCTTTGCTTTCTAGGGTGAATATAATAGCTCCAGCATACAAGCCATCTAAACAGACTATCGGTCTACCAAACAATCCAGAAACAGGGACAGATTTTCTGTGCATAATTCACGAGGTTTCAACGGGGAGTCACATAACACAACGAAACCAAAAGTGTCAACTAAAAAATTGTGTAGGGCAACAAATCTAGAAAGCAAATGAAAGTGCACACAACCAGGCAATAAAAAAGAGCAAAGAGACTTTTTCCTAGGGTTAAAATGAAACACCAAGTTCATTTGCAATGAGAAAACACAGTTTGGAATCCTAACATAACTTGAACAGACTGTACAACACATACATGATAGTGGATATTATAGTGCAAAAACTTAAAGGCTTTAACGAAATAAGAAAGAACCCAAAAAAATAAGCAGGACTTCAGAGTTAGTCAATTCATGATATATAGATAATGACATACCTTAAATCTTCAATGTCAATTTTCTCAAAAGCATTTGTTCTCCGAATAGCCTCCTCTGTTCAATAGTACAATGCATCATAATGAGAACTTAAATCCTGAATACGCATCTAGATGTATAATCGCAAGCATACATTATGCAATTCTTGACAAATATGTGCCGATGTAATTATATCCACAAGTTGTCGTACCTTCTTCCTTTTTTGACAACTTTTCTCTCTGTTAACTGTTGGAAGCGAGAAAAAATAGATGTTAGTGACGAGAAAGGAAACAAGCAGTGTCAGAAGTAGCTC